AGTTCGGACCCAAAGCTCGCTGCTGCTGCTGCCGCTGCCGCCCGTCTCTGGGCTCTTTTTATCCGAGAGGTATTGCCGCTAAGAACCGGACAGCACTGACCTCGGCTCAAGTCTCCCCTCCTTTGTTAAGAATATTTTGGGTTTTTCCCAGGCGTCCCGCTGGGCTCAGCGGAAGGGGGCTATCGGGCCTCTCTGCGATCAGTGCCGTCCTCAAACCTGATGAGGCAGCGGTCTGAAGGAAACTGAGACCATGAATATTTTTGCAAAAAAACCTTAGCCTCTGGCTAGAGGACAGAATTTATGCCCGTGTTGTGCTCCTGTTGGGGAAAAGGCAGGGATAGTGTAGCTTTTAAGTGTCCTGAGAGTCAGTAGGAGTGTGCTACCTCCGCGTGTGCTGCCTTTTGCTTGGCCGAAAGGATGAGAGGTTGGATGCGGGATTGTTGTGAGAGGGGTGTAGAGGCACATGGGGTGATGGAGCAAACCCACAAGAAGCCAGCTTCGTTAGTTTTACTACCCGTAGAGAAACTTCTCATTACTTGAAGTAGTTTCTCTTGTTTCTGGAGCACTTGGGTGCTCCCGGATTATAATTCTTAGAAGAAAATACATTTTTTTCTTCACAGTGCAGCGCTCTGTACTTGAAAAACTGAAGGGGGAACTCAATGCAGGGATGGGGAACGTGTTTCACAAGCAGTTTCTGAACTGAAAGGATGTGTCATGGTTGGGAAATGGTTGGAGTTGTTTCTGTTCTCTCAGAGTGACGTGACTTTCCCCTGAAGCGTCTTCTCTTGCTGGTTGAAGCAAAGGAGTTATTTACTGAGTATGGCTTATTTATTTTCATTTTTCTTCTTTCCTATTTATTCTCTTTATACCTTCGCTGTCAACTCTAGCGCACAAGAAGGCAGTTGAGAGGAAAAGGAGCAAATGGACAGTAAGTCGAGCATTGAGGAACCTGTGGTTGTTCTCAGCAGAAATCGCTGCCTGGGTAATAGCAAATAGACTTGAAAGAACTGGACATAATAAAGTGAAGAGCAAGAGCACGTGTTTGTTAACTGAAGGCCTCTGAAAATCCTGTTTGGATGTCAGAGGAAAGGGAAACTGGGGGATCCTTCGAGGCTTTTGAAAGAGAATAGAAGCAGCCTCACGAATTGCACGCGTAGGGCTAGTCTTGTCTGGCATAAAGTTGCCGTGGTCGAGGTCCTTTCTAGTTCTAGTTTCTGTTATACCCTGGGTTTCACCTGCAGATTTTAATATCCAGCAGAGACTAGCATAGCTGCTTTCCAAGGCTGTTACCACTAAGAAGGTTTTGTTGTACTACATGCCTGTGGCTATGAGCAGCATAATGTTATTCTAGGTGCTGTCCAGGCAGATGACAAGAAATGCTCCCCGCTCTAAAGACTTTACAACTGTCATAGCACTCTCTTTAGTTCTGCTGGTTTCGGTGATCGCGAAAATGCGATCCACCACCAAAGTCTCTCTTGACACAGTTTTCTCCCAGTTTCGGCAAACGTCGTCCATTGCTTCGGAAGCCCTTGCCCTTTTTTGATGCCGTGGCCTCAGCAAGGGGGAGCCGCGTGATCAAACCGCGGACCTCCCAGCTGGGGCACGTAGACAGGCTGTCAATGCCAGCGTGCTTTGGAGGAGAGTCCCTGGACTCTCCCTGGGGTTGTGGGCAGGATCCTTCAGTCCGTGCTGAAATCTCTGCTGATAACCAGGCGCTACGTGGGCTCACCCTACTCGTCTGACGTTTATCAGGGAACCGTTCTGTTCAGTACAAAGTAGCATCCCCTGGTGCATGTGATGGTGGGAGCAGGAAGAGTTCAGTATCTCAGCTCTGATTGCTCCCGCTTTCCTGCTCTTTGAAAAGGTAATGAATATGACTGCACGTCTTTCCCTTTGAAGGCCTAGATCTACTAGTCTAGGTTAACGTTTTGTTTTTGTTCACGTGCCTATTAAACACTGAGCCTCTTCCCTTCTTTTATGCCTTCAGGACTGTGTGCAGGCAGCACCTGTGCTTGTCTGGCTCCCACTAAGACAGTGATGGGCTAAGCCCATTCCTGAACTTCAGTGTACTGTTGTTGTGCCCATTGGCCTCTGGGGAGTGTTTCCTCCTTCTCTTTCCCATGGAGCGAACGTCACTGTCCTGCTGTCCATAAAAGAGCAGAGATACTTACGTGAGGCATTCTTGTTGCTGCAAATAGAGCAAAGAACGTATCGTCTTTCTCTGGTAGCCTGGATGCTTTTTCTGTAGTGAATATTTTCCTGCTTTTGGTCGCAAAGGGTAAATTGCGGTCAATGGAAGTTGCTGCAACTGGACAAGCACCCACCATATGCTATAGGAATAAGGGGCGCATCTTAATCTTGCAGCAGCAAGCACAGCACAAATGTGTTAGGCGGTTACAGGATCGCGTTCCCTGGCCTGAATTTTCCTTGTGCTGTGTGGGTGCCGCTGCTGTTTTCTTCGTGCAGTGCAGGTGAACTGAGGTGAGTGCCCAAATGGCCTCTGGATCGGGATACCCTGTCACTGCACGGGGTTTTTGTGTCCATGGCGTAGTTGCTGATTTAATGACTTTCTACATAAACAGGGAAGTTTTAAATATTCTTCTGGCAAATGAATAATAGTCGCAGTTATTTCTGTAGGCAGCAGCGCTCATCCCGGTGTGTTAAAGCCTGTTTGGTAACTGAAAGCTTGCCTTGCTTCCAAAGGACATGCCTCTAGCCCACAGTTATGTTTAGGTTTGCTACGTGTGCCAGTAACAGTGGAGCTTCTGGCCCTGGGAGCAGCCATTTTGCAAGAGCTCAGCAGCAGTTGTTACCTGGCAACAGTATATGAAATTTCGGTTTTCAAAACCAGTGAAAATTTCAAGCGAGGATTTTGCTGAGACAGGAGGCTTTGACTGATGTGTAAGTGCAGATGGAGTGAGCTTGCTCTCCGGTGGGGATCGTCAACTATTTACCTTGCTAGTGAGACAGAGAGAGGAGTCTCCTTCAGCCCCTGTTACATCTGTCCCCTTCTAAAAGCCTTCAGAAGGCATGGAGGCCACCAGGCAACCTGTGCTAGGCCAGATATATGAAGTCAGGGCACGTGCACTCTTCAAAGCACAGCTGAAGCTCTGAACAAATGGTCGCTTTATGCAAAACTTGAGTGCTGTAAACTTCTGTGTGCCTAGTCGACCAAGGAAAAAACATGGGAATCCTGTAGGCACAGCTACAGTTTCATAGCGAAGTTACTCAAACACCTGGACTTTGAGGTCCGGTCTCAGTCAGAAGCCAGTTTTGGAAAGTAACAAATGTATTATTTCCAGCCAACCCCAAATGTTGCAGCTAACAGCTGTGTTGCTGGACTTCAGCGATCTTTCTGCAGGCACGAGGGTTAGAAATGACCCTTCCAGAACCCTTTGGTCTGGCACTTGATTCAGTAGATCTGACTTACCAGCTTGAGTCTTTCTGATCCAAGACTATTTGCTCCTTGAACCTGGTAAGTTCCTTGTACCTGTTCTTGGGTGTTTTTCTGGTCTGCTGGGATTGCTTGTGTAAGAAAAGAGCTACGACTTCACTCGTTTGTGTGGAGTTAAGTTTCTTATACGGAAGGACTCTTACACATCCTTTTTGGAGAAGAATACTTCTCCCAACCAATTCAGCGTATTCTACCTGATAGACCAGTAGAACCTGACAAAAAAAAAATCTGGAGGTAGTGTATTTCACGCAGTGCTATTTCTTCTAAATGGATATTGTGCACAGTTGGTCGTGCTTTTCCCCAGGTTCAGTGAATGAGAACCAAAGACCGTCAAATTCGTATAACGGAGACCTGAATGGACTGCTGGTGCCTGACCCCATCGTGGCCGGAGATGGACCTTCTTTGGCTAAGCCAGTGCATCGCAGCATTTCTCTGGGAGCCCTGCAGGAGAAGCAAGTCATGTAAGTTTTGTCGAAAAAAGGCTGAGGGTGAATAGAGAACAGTTAAAAATTAGTTCTGGTGAGCCTGGACAAGCGTGCTGGGAATCTGACAGTGCGTTTTACGTTGAGTTCAGGTGGCAGTTGTGAGTCCATGCTATTGGTCAGAGCTTTTGTAGCTTTTGTGATGCTGATGCAGGGAGCCTGCCATCCCTGCTGCTCAGGAACTGAAGAATATCAGCAGAGCTGTTTAGGGAGAAGGGGAGCAGGATGGGTCGCATGGTGGACGTTGCAAGTCGGGATGGAGGTAAATTAGCAGGGCTCTGGGTGGAATTTAGCGTTCTCACATAGACATCCAGCTGGACTTTTTCAGGGACCCAAGTTACCTGAGTGGTAACTTACACCAGTTTGTAGCACGGTAGACCTTGCGCTTGTCAAAGTATTTCTCTCCACATAACTTAAAACAGGACAAATGATCCTGAGCTGGATTCCTACCTAACTCTTTGCTGAGTTGTGCATATACGTCGATGTGTTTTGGACAGCACGTGTGCTTTTACTGCTTAATGCAAGCGAACATATGCATATAGAATACTTTGGATTTGTCATGGGAGTAATAATACAAATCCACAGCTACAAATCCACATCAGTCTAATTAGTGTAATGCTTGGCTTCATGCGCTGACTCTTAACATCACACCTCATGTAAATAGCTTTTGTGTGGGTTCTCTGGTCATAGTTTTGAGAGAGGACGCTGTGAGAACCATGAGCAGTCTGCACTGTTGTTGATGAGGTTCAAGTGGTTGGCTTTGATCTCTTGGCACCTTCGAATGTTGGGTAGCGGTCAAGGCTACTTTAACCAACTGTAGTTCTGTGCTCAAATCAAATAGACTAATGGTCTGTGAGAAGAGTCCGGAGGTTTTTAGGCTGAGCAAACCAGGTGTTTGGTGCTCTCAAACCTGTGACACACGGGGAAGGGAGACTCTTAACTGAAAGTAGTTTCTGTTTTCAGTTGTTCAGTTCAAACCTCCTAGATGCACAGATACTCCTTCTGCATTGCTGTTAAAATTATGAATAGTAAATATCTGAGCTCTGTTCTCTTCCTGTGAGTCCTGTCTGATTTTTTTTTTTCCCCTTTGTTTTTCTTAAAAGCTGCCTTTCCGGTGATGACAGCTCCACTTGTGTAGTGATTTCAGCAAAAGATGTGGAGGTAGTGGCCAGCAGTGATTCCAGCATCACCAGTAAGGCCAGAGGGAGTAACAAGGTAAGGAGCATGAGAAAGCATAGTTCTGTCTCTTTTTTTTTAGTCGCGTCACCTCATGCTTGAATATTTTAAACAGAAATTCCTGTCGTCTTTCCTGTGTTATAGGAGCTTGTAATTAGGTAGAAGTTTACCAAAGAGCTTAACAAGGGGGGGAAAAATTGGAGCAGTATCTTGTAGCCGATTGCTACTGTTATTCCAGAGTCTGGCCAAGTTATTGTCTAATTTTCAGGAATAAGTCCATGATCTAAGCGGTAGGTTCCTGGGAAAGTGCTCTTCCTTC